CGGTACAGTACAGTCAGACGGACCCTGTACAGTACAGCCAGACAGACAGAGCCGGTACAATCAGATGGACTGGTACAGTCAGATGGACCGGTATGGTCAGACAGACCCGGTACAGTCAGATGGACCGGTACAGTCAGACGGACCGGTACAGTCAGATGGACCGGTACAGTCAGACAGACCGGTACAGTCAGATGGACCGGTACAGTCAGACAGACCCAAACAGAACCAGACCTAAAACATGACTGAGAACTGGATCCAAACTGAGATCAGGACAGACTCACAGCAACAAACCTGTTTTTACAGGATGGAAAACTGAAAACTGTTTAGTTCCTCTGTTACAACCAGAACCAGAACCAGAACCCACAGATCTGAGCTGTGCCCCGTCAGTACCTGAGCTCTCTGCGTGATGAGCTGCGAGGCGTTGAACTTGGCCACCACGCTCTTCAGCACCTCGTTGACGATGGACGGCAGCACGCGCTCGTCGTAGTCCATCCCCAGCTGCTGGTAGAGGACGGGCAGGTTGGAGGCCAGAGGCCGGGACAGAACCCGCAGAGTCACGTTCACCATCTGCAGGTCTGAGGGGACAGGACACACAACCGTCAGCAGCTGCCGAGGACCTGAGACAGTTCCAGTCCCAGCAGAACTCCTGATCTGCTCCTCGGGTAAAAGCTTTGGATCAGCAGTTCTCTGGACTTTGTCTCCTTTAATCCTTTATTAAAACTGAAACTCTGAACAGCAGGATGTTCAGTCAGGCTGGTTTTGACGGAGGACTCTGACCTTTGCTCCCGGTCAGGGAGGAGATCTTTCTGGGTCGGGCTCGGATGTCGTAGATGATGGGGTACTGGAACCAGGGTACCCTGCAGACAACAAGACCACAACATCAAGATTGTCAGACCCAGAACCTTCTGCAGGGACTAGAAGTCCTCTGTGGTCTGGAGACACACTGAGACCACCCAGGAGACCCTGCAGGAGCAGCAGGACCTGGGTTTGGTTTAAACCCTTCCTCTCTGCATTTAGAAGCTAAAACTTCACAGGTTTTAAAAAAAAAGATTAAAACAGATAAATGAATGTCTCAGGTGATGTTTTCCACTCAAACCTGACGTGTTTTAATAAATAAAATGTTAACGAAGCTCGTGTTGTTGGGTCTCTGTATATATATTTATCCTAGCCTGGTAAAAACCAGACCCTTGACTTCATACGAGGGTCTGGACTCTCTGCTATAGAGAAGTGATTCTTGCTGGAGGCGTGGCCTCTGCTGAAGTTTAATATGATTGGATCTGGTTTACCCAATCACTAACGGTTGTCTGTGACGTCTGCAGTGCGACGGCTCCACTGAGGAGGAGGCTAGGCTAGGCTAACAGGCTAACAGAGCCCTACTGTAGACACGACTCTTCACAAACTTCATCTGCAGACGGTGAGTGCTTCATGCGTTTAGTGAGCGTCATTTATGGGACACATGTGTCGCTTGTCAAACTGTACCTTTTTATTTATAGAATTTGTTCTGATGTGTCCTTTGTGCATGTTTGTTTTCAATGCTAACTAGTTAGCAGCTAGCGGCTATCGTTACTTAGCGATACAGGCTAAAAACAGCCCCAGCAGAACTGTAGGAAGACAGGGGTCAGGCTAGCTTTAAGCCAACAGACCAAATTATTCTTAAAAAAATAAAATAAAATATTTTTACAACATGAGCTTCAATATATATATATATATATATAAATAAATAAATCATTGAAGTTGATTTGTTTCAACAACCATCATGATGATGATGTAAGGTTATGACGGAGAAGACCGTTGCCATGATAACAGCAGGTGAACCCACCTGAAGTGGAGACCCTCAGCGAGCACCGTGTTCATTTCCATCCCTCCAATCCTGTTGAAGATAACAGCTCGGTGTCCTCCTTCAACTGGACGCAGGAAAGAGACAAAAACTTTGAACATATTATTTATCACATAAATCTACATTTAACCATCAAAACAACACTTTGAGACTAATTACATGTTTAATTAGAAGCTCAGGTGTAAACAGATTTATAATGATTTGTTGATGTTGGATAATTGAGTGATTTTATTGCATCAAGCTCTTTCAAATTAAAAGCATGGATGAGGTCTGTCCCTCCTTTTCATCCTGCAGCCATGAAAAGAGACTTCCATAACAAAAGTAAATAATGAGCTTGGATCCTGTTCAAAGTGAGCACAAATTGTTGCTGTTTGTAGCTTTATGTTTCTTTATGACATATTTAATGTGAAATTCAATTCTAAACTTTTAATTTTATAAAAGGGCAACTTTATTAATGTGAGATTCTATGATTTACACACAAATGTTTGTTTTTTTTCTTGGTAAATACCTTTTTTAATACTTTGAAAAAAATGTAATGTTCTAATGAACCACAGCTATTTGTTATATTAGTCAAAGTGAAATAACAGCCATTTTTTTTATTTCTGTAGCTACTTATTTGTTAAATTACTTTTTTTTGCCATTTCACCCAGCCCTAAAAGGAACAGTTTCATTAATAAACTAAATGTGCACAAGAAAAGCGCAGAAAAATGATGAAGTATTTTCCAGACAGATCAGAGGTCCAGACGTGCGGACCACCTGTCCCAGCAGGTTACCTGTGTAGGTGGCCTCCTTCACACCGTACGCCAGCGCTCCGGCCCCGAGCAGCAGTTTGACACCCGTTCCTGCACCTCGAGGTCCAGACGACATCCTGCCTGCGATCTGCCGCAGCTGCTGGAGGAAACCCTGAAAACCAAGAGTCAAACCTGAGTACCTGAGACAGGTGAGGGATGTTCTGACAGGTACCGGATCAGCATGACCTGGTGACCTTTGGAGGAGGGCTGAGACCCCTCAGCAACTTTAATACAAAGACCAGAATCTGTGGACAAGGCTGGCTCAAATATTAAGAACACAATTAATGACATTATTTAAAATGATCAACTCTAACCTTAAAATCGGCTCATCAAACACCTGTAGAAAACGATGTTTTAATAAAAATGTCAGCATGTTTAACAGAAATGTCCTGCTGTAACTTCAGCAGCATTAGCTGCACCTGGAGACACTTCTGATGTTAATCCTATAAATTTAATATTTTAATGCTTCATGTCTAAGACGAATTAAAACAGGTCTCATAAAAAGATAAATGGTGCAATAAATGAATAAATAATCCAGCTTTACCGGCTGGAAACAAACTAAAGAGTTTTAATTTACAAGGTTTTTAAACCAAGTCTGGATTCTGCAAATCAGGTTTAATAAATAAACCGCAGAGCTGTTAAAAACATAAACTTAATAAATTAGTTTTAAAGTCATTTCTATTTGCTGTTTGTTGTTGTTTTTTTTTCCACAGTTTTAATCCCTTCAATCGGTGTTATCGGTCTTTCATCAGCCTGCCCGGTCGAACCGGACTCACGTGCCGAACTTTCCGACGCTGCTGTCACGACGCGACGTGCAAAGAGCGGGAAGCGACGGAGCGGTTCCCCCGAACCGAGGGTGAAAATGTGACCCGGGTCCACGAGAAAGTTCGTCCGATGAAAGAAAAGACACTTACCGCGGGGTCCTTGCTCGCCATGCCGTCCTCTTTACCTGTTAGACAACCGAATAGGAAGAGATAGCCAAGGTCACGGATGATGACGTATTTCCGGTGTGCAGGGCATCATGGGAAATGTAGGAATCACGACTTTGGGCCTTTACAACCTGTTTACATGAATATTCTGACAAATTAAATGATTTTACATTAACATTTGTGTTTATTAACTTGATAGTAATAAAATATTGAAATATAAGTTTTTTATGATGAATACAGTAAAATATTTTATAAATTCAAACTAAAAAACTTGATGGAGGGATGATTAAAGAGAAAAGTTAGATTTAAAATAAATATGTTATTATGGTAATATGTATGTGAATTGTGTTAACCGTCCCTGCAGCTGAATGAAACGATGCTGGTTGTGCTCAGCAGGAGGCAGCAGAGCTCTGGACCTTCAGCCTGTTGAACCACAGCAGCACCTGCAGCACAGGGACGGTTGTTGCATCAGAAGTTTGGTGCAAAGATCAAGAAAAGTCTCAGATCTAAGAGCTGAAGAGCTGAAGTGTTCCGAGAAGAAATAAACTGTGTGTCTGCTCTGCATCTGGGTCACACTTCCCTGTCTGCACAGCAGATTAAATCATTTAAATAAACTGATTTCTGTTTAAACCACCACATTAGATGTGTTTGAACTTTAATTATTTAATGTTTTGAACCCAGAGTTTAAATAATAAAATGTTAAAAAGGCATCAAAAGTTCAAATAAACCCTTCATAACATGTGAAGAATTGATGATTTTAAACTTTATAAAGTCTGGATGAAAACATAAATTAGGTTTGATGTAAGACTTTTGCACAGTGATGAGGTCATCATGAGACACATTCAACATAAATGAGGTAATAAAAATGGTGACCTTCAGGTCAAACTGAGAGCTGTTCAAAGGCAGCAGGAGTTGTGTTTGTATTTTTATTTGTTTCAGTCTCTGAGGATGAAGAGCCGCGGCCTCGCGCTGCTCTCTGATTGGCTCACAGCTCAGTTCCTCCTGAGGAAACCACTCCTTTTATGGTGAACGGAGCTCCGCGCGCCCGGCTTCCGGGTTCTCTGACCCAGCATGTAGAGGAGCAGAACCCCTGGAGCTCCGCGGGGGAACACGGTACCGATCCGGGCCCGTCCATCAGTCATCAGTGCAGGTGAGGGGGGTCCGTGGGGGAGGGGGCAGCCTCCGGGTCCGGACGGAACCGGGCCTGGCGGTCCTGAGGTCCTGAGGGTGGGTCCTGCTTCAGAGCAGACATGTCAGGTCCTGCAGAGTCTGCTGCTGCTGGGACAAACTGCAGCCCAAAGTTCGGCTCCAGTTTTTATCCGGTTCGAAGTCTCGTCAGGAGGCTCGGTTCTGCTCTCGGATCAGAACCAGGCGGTTCGGGTGTTTCTGGACCAAAACCAGCAGAGGAGCTCATTTCCGTTTTCTTCACTTCACTCAGTCAGAGACGGAACCAGAAACTCTCAGATTGCTTTAAAAAATCTGAGGAGTTTTCTGCTGGACCGGTCCAGAATATTCAGCTTCAGGGGCGCAGGCCCCCTGATGACATCATGTTTACTCTGATGACGTCATTTATTGATTATTCACCAGGAGAAATAAACAGAAAGGTCTTTTTATGATTTTTAATCTGGGTTCAGTCATTTTATTATTTAGCAGGTTTCAGTTTGAGCTCCAACCTGAGGGTGAAGCTCCGCCCACTTCCCTGTGCAGGTAAATCAATCTGTGCAGGTAAATCAATCTGTGCAGGTAAATCAATCTGTGCAGGTAAATCAATCTGTGCAGGTAAATAATCTGAAGTTTAAAAACTGAAAGATTTTCAGCCTGTCAGCAAAATATTTTGTTCCTCTGGTCAAAGACTTCCTGTTTGAGACAGAAAAACCACAGAGGTCCTCTGCATCAGTCCAACCCTCACCTGTCCTTACTGTCCAGAGGTAGGACATGGACACTGAAGCCCCGCCCACATCTCATCACATACTTACCCGAGGACTACCTGGATGATCTTTGTCTCACAGAAGCAGACACCTGTCCCCAAAACATCTGAAACCTGGAGTCCTCTGTCCTCACAACCCATGTCCTCTGTGACCACCTGAGACCAGCTCGTGTCCTCCTCTCTGTCCATCTGAGACATGTCCTCAGACCTCNTGTCCTCCTCTCTGTCCATCTGAGACATGTCCTCAGACCTCGTGTCCTCCTCTCTGTCCATCTGAGACATGTCCTCAGACCTCGTGTCCTCTGTGTGTAAACCAGTTCCAGGTCTCAGTCTGTGCCGCTCGGTTCCCAAAGTTGGGCTTGGGACCCAATTATGGGTCATGAAGCACCTTGGATAATCTCCAGAAATCAATTTAAAGGTTAATAAAATAATTGGGGACTCAGCCAGACGTTCCCAGCAGACCCTCACTACACGTTTGGGCCTGCCAGGTCTGACCGGCTTCCTCCCCCACCATCGGAGCCAACTCACCACCAGGTAGTGGTCATTCTCTCATTGAATATAACTTGATCAGGCAAAAACCAAACAACTTTTCCTGAACACCGTTTGAAGAGACCCTATTCTAGGT